GTATAAAACATGATCATCGATTTTAATTTTGTATTTATTCTTTTTTTTCTTTGGTTTGGGCAGTTCCTACTCAACCAGATACGTTAAATATTATTGAAAAATATAAAAGTGCCAATATATCAGTGATGCTGACCCAGTCTTAAGGAACATAAAAAATACCTTCTTCATCATCACCATCTACCTGCTAGTCCTGGTGAATGTTATAGAATAATTAACAAACCGATTTTAAATTTTTAAATAATAATAAATAAAACATAATAACTAAAATATATAAAAAGCAAAACATCGATATTTCTAGTTAAACTAAAGTCTGGATAAATGCGCCAAAACTCCAGCTGAAAATGACTCGGTTATATAAAAAGGAATAATATCATTCATCTTGTCATGCACAACTACAAAATCAGGGCGAAAAATAAGAGAAATTGATTTCAAACAAGGATAAAATAAAGGTCACTCGCTTCTTGTCTAGTGACTTTATTAATTTCATTTTATAGTATATTTCAAGAATAAATTAGAGTAAATTTTCAGAATACTAATCATCGAAACTTCGAAATACATAGGCGTGCATAATTTTCAATTAGGTACTATGTTTTATTTAATTAGTTAAACGTTGAATTGTATATTTCACTGAGTGTATAATGAATGTTTTTGTAATTTCGTTTGTATGTATGAAAGGTTAAACTTTATCAATGTGCTTGAATTCCATCGCACGGTAAGTTTGGAGAGGTTCGTAATAAATATTTATTAGTTTTGAAATACTACATTATTTCAAAAAAAGTTTTTCAATTTTCCTTCTCACTTTTTCCAGGCCTATTACTGACAGAAAAGATATAAGTATTTTCATAACTGGCACGTTTCAAAAGAAACGTTTTTCAATTAAAATTATACCTGATGCAAAAAAAATATACAATTTATTGTGGCTTAAAGCTTATGGCTATTAAGCTAATTGCGATTCAAATTAATTTTCGCGCGCCTGTCATTTGTCACCTAAAAGTATGATATTTTTTATTTACATTGTGTTTGTTTTCGGCGAGATTTTGTATTTGTGATTTTTTAACTGTTTTTAGATAATATTCTCATTATAATAGTGTTTTTGAGTTTAATTTAGTGTTAATTTAAGTTAAGTTTTCGTGATTTCGTCATAAATATAATATTTATCATGTGTTTATGACTAATTTGTTGGAAATCTTCACTTATCTGGTTGCAACACAAACATCTCGAAATATTTATTCACTAAACGCAGGAGATGATTTATTATGTGGTACAAAGGACATTTCAGGTACCTAACGTTTATTATTGATAATCTTAATTAAACATCTTGTTGTCTTTATTCTTATATTATGAAGTGAATGGTGTATAGTATTTGAATATACAGTGCTTTTTAAAAGTCCCCTCCCCCCTCTTTTCTTTTGAACGGTGATACTTAGATTGATGAAATTTGGAGGGTCAAAATGAACTATTGTAAGCTTCTCTACTAGTGGTAACAGGTGACGTAATAGGCATCGGTGACGTCACCAGGCAACTAAATCCATTAATATTAAATGGGACCTTATATCAAGTGACACCTCGTTTAAAAGGTATTTAGAATACATATTCAGTCATACTATTTTTTTAGTTTAGCGATGTCTTTGATGATTAAAATAAAGTCCCATTTAATATTATTGGTTTCAGTTGCCTGGTGACGTCACTGATGCGTATTACGTCACCTGTTACCACTAGTAGAGAAGCTTACAATAGTTCATTTTCACCCTTCAAATTTCATCAGTCTAAGTATCACCGTTCAAAAGAAAAGGGGGGGGAGGGGACTTTTGAGAAGCTCTGTATACATGTAAACGGCAAAAAAACTGTGACAATGCAGATTGCAGTTTGATTCTAGACAAAATTTTGCAAAATATCATTAATGTTAATTTGTAAATAATCATTTATCTTAAGAAACAAAATTTTACGACTTACGCTTTGAAAATAATGAACACTTCACTTTTGATTTTGACATTAACACCATATAGATTGCAATTTGCGGGGGGCTTTTTCGCAAATTTCGTTTTTAATATAAACACTATTACTCACTATAAGAAATAAACGAATTTAAAGCTCACAAGTGAGAAAAAATTCGAATTATAATTGATACAAATTAAAATATAAACAGTGAACACGAACGTCAATGTTGCCAAACGATGAACTGATTTTAAAACAAAATTGATTAATGAACTTAAAAAAAAAACAATATAATAATTCGGTTTTATAAAAATAAATATAGAGTATGATTACATATTACTAGACACAAATTTTGTTACTTAAAAAAAGGTCTTTCCGTTTCTTCAAGGCCTAAAATTCCGACAACATAGTGAAATTCCGCTACTTCTGGCAACACTGAACAAAGTTCTCCTTATAGACACCTTTTACAAATTTCCTCCAGAGGACGTATCACTTTGCTTGAATCGTGAATTTCTGTCGTTCTAATGGGTTTTCCCAAGAGGATTTAAAATTATAAATTATAGGTCTCTACTGTTATTTATAAGTTATTTAAAAGTGAACAAACAACAACAAACAACAAACGACAGACTTTGAGCTTTTTACTTCCCTTTAAACAATTTATCTATATAACGCAAATGTTAATGAAATCATCTTTAGCATAAATATACTAAAAAATAACAAAAAACCTGGTAGTGATAATATTATTTCGGAAATATTATGTCATGAAATATCTCCTATTATTGCTTTTCTTATCAATGAATAAATGAAGGCAAATTTCCTGATTATCTTAAAGAAGCAATGATATTATTTCAGTGTATAAAAATGGAAATAAATTAGATGTTATCAACTATCCATCTGTATCTTTAATTTTGAGTTATGAAAAATAAAATTATTTCTTAATAAATATAAACGACCAATATGGTTTTAAAGAAAACACCTCAACTTCCGATGCCATTGCAAGATTGACAAAATCAATAAACAAAGCCTTCTTTATTTATTGTTGTTGGTCTTGCAAATGCATTTGATACAGTTGAATCGAAATTAATGGATGCCTTGGAAAATATTGGATTTCGAGGGGTTGCTTACAATTTAATAAAAAGTTACCTAGAAAACAGAAAAGAAACAGTTAATATTAATGGTTCTAGTGGTTAGTATCAAGTCATACACTGTGGTGTTCCTCAAAGAACAGTTCTTGGACCCTTATTATTTAATTTGTACTTAAATGATCTCTTCGAACAAGAAATATATGGTTAAGTTATTAGCTTTGCAGATGATATTGCGATATTATATCAAGACAACTTGGGAATCATTAAAGGCTATTGCTAAAAGAAATTTTCGACAGATCATGATCTATAAATCTATAAATCACTAAAAATCAATTTTGGGAAGACTTTACATCCCGTTTACTTCATATACTACTAATAATTTACCAGAATATCATAATTTAATTATAAATGCCCAAACCAATAACAAAAAATAGCTATGAGATCAACACAAAATATTATGTACCTTGGACTATACATATTTATATAGAATGGGATGCATAAATCAATTATATTGTTAAAAAATTAAGACATCTAAGGGACGAATTTAAATATCTATCCAATCTTTTGCATACTAATCACTCAAAGATCATTTACTATGCGTTAGTAAAGTCCCACCTCCAATTCTACGGATTAATCTCATGGGGATCGGCGGGTATTGTCCTACTAGATAACCTTCATAAAATTCAAAAGTCTGTAATAATATCTGTATAAAAAACCCCGAACTTACCCCTCTTGTATCTTTTATGCTGATACTAAGATATGAACCTTATTACTATATTTACACAAACACAAAAAGAAAGCCAACTTTATTTCCCACTCATATAACACCAGATATAAAATTGAATGTTTTGCTATATAGGTACCTAAAGCAGGAAAACTGTTGGACAAAGATACTTTACGTTTTGAGGTCCAAGTCCAAAGCTGTGCAATGAATTACATGCAGAATTAAACTGCTAGGAATCGAACTACAACTATTAAAACAATTTCTTGAAACAGTCTGAGGACCAAATAAATAAAAAAGTAAAAATACTTCTAAGCTACAGTTTACAGTTGTTATTACTCGTATTAGAAATTAACCACGTTGCAATTTAATTTTTCTTCCAATGAATAATCGGTAAACCGTTAACTAATCTGGAGTGGTAACTTTTACAGTAGCTGAATTTTTAGATTTGAATGTAATTATTTGTTCGAAATAATCAACAAACACGTCTTCGTTCATCTCTTCGTGATAATCTCAGGGATTTTTTTATTCAATCCATTTACACTACCAATATGAGTAATAAATAATTAGTCGTCGACCCTTGCTTATTGGTTCTTTCAAATCAGTTGAATATCTCTGTAGAAATGCTTCTTGAGAGGTTTTTATGTTTTTGTCTTATCGACCAGTGGTGGCGCATGCTTATTTTCATTAGAAAGATAGTCATTATTAAAGCTAATCGGTATTTTAAAACAAAATGTAGACTAATCTGAATATTTTAGTTAAACATCTCAGCCCCTTAATCATTAACCGATACATATTGAAAATAGATTACCTCGTTTCCAATCTGCAGGTAAGTAGGCAACACATCATACTCATAAAAACCGATTGGATAGCGGTGACCATAGATTAGGGGAGTGTCAAAAAATGGGAAACTAAATGATAAAATTCTGAGGCGATGTGCTACCATTTATCAAATTGGAGTAGTACTAAATACAATATGGCCGCCAGGAGCGTGTTTTTTGAAATTTAACTGTCTGCCACCTGGGCAAAAATGGAGTGAAGAAAATCAAACAAAAAAATAAATAAGTTTATTTTGACTAATTTCAAATCATAAAAATTTAAATAGACGAAAACAACGCAGATTAAGCTGAAATATTGTAGTTGTACGACATTTTGGCCATTTTTTATTTTTTCTCAATTATTTATTTGTCTTAGTTATTCTTTTTGTTTTATATTGTTTGAAAATAAAGATACAAAACTATATATCATAATTTTGATAGAATTTTTATTTGCAGGGAAACCCCTACGGCCTTAAAGATGCGGGAGGGGCGGCTGACATGTCAGCGTGGACGAGCGCTGGCCTCCAACCTACCACCGGGTATTATCCTTACGATCCCACGTTAGCGGCATACGGGTAAGTCAAAAAGTTACAGAATTACGTATTTTTAATCATTTAACTTGAATATTATTAGTTATTTACGCAACCAGTTACGAAATGCCTTATTTTATGTAACGAGTGAATATTTGAGGGACGAGCAAAATAAGGACCAGCAACATTAACGAGTTACATAAAATTACATTTCGTAACGTGTTCCATACAATATTTTTTCCAATTTTGTTTAGATTATTTAAAGAATTGTGTTTTGCTTAAAAATTACTGACATCTAAGCAACCAATATTACTTTCTTGTATTGTTAGTTGCATATGCATAACCTCATTCATTTTATAGACAAATAAAAAATCATATTAATTTATTTTTAATGACTTATTATAGTGTGTTTATATCATTGTTTGTTAAAACTGTTTAGTTTTCAAGAAAGTGGGTTATTCTGTCGTGTATTGGGTTTGAATTACTTTGTGCTGATTTAGAATACAAAAAATGGATCAAAACAACATTATTACTAGATTGTAGGTTTAATCAAATTCTATTTTTATAAGGCAATCTGCTCTTCTTTTCGCAACTGGTGACTAGTTAATTTTTCGTAACCAGTGTCATAATGTTCAATATTACGCAACTGATAGCATAAAGTGGATCATTTTGACACTGGCTGCGATTACTTTATATGTAAAAATTTGAAAAATATTAATTTATGTGAAATCTGTCTTAACCATAAACTAAGAATGGAACTAGTTGTTTATTAAAAGTTAATATCCTTTAACATGCTTTTACGTCTAAATCATAACCTCTAAACTAATATCCCAATTGCCGCCCAGTGTATTACTGGTTGTATAAAATGAAGTGTATTACTGGTTGCATATCAGCAGGGGAAATAATATACTTCACAACAAATTCCTGTAAGGTTTAAAATCCTAAGACCTAGTCGAGTTTTTCTATAGTTTGAATATTGCAAAAATGATTGTACAGGGTGATTACGTAAAATTGACTTTTCCGGTTATTGACTGCAAAATTGATTCATATTTTACGTTTTTTTACGTCTTTCTTTTGAAATTACACAAGCAATGAAGGAGATTGACCCCTTCTTCTACCTTTTCTTTCACCATTGTTTTAATAAATGTTTTATGTGAAATTACTTGCTCCAGCTATGTACGTATTAACTCATGCGCCTTTCTTGCAGCAAAAGCAATTTTCCCAAGGATTTATTTGCCCTTTTACGTACTGTTCCCCATCATTGGATACAACAATTGAAAAGTTGTAATGTCGTGACCAGTTTGTCACAGCGTTATTGGCAGAATGATTTTGTCGAGCACAGAGCGTGTTATACGTTGCATGATGATATGTTTGTGAGCGTCCAACGTTTCTTTATTTCGCTAGATCACAAACGACGATATCGTGCTTCGAAGCATTGGCGGAGTAAATCGTCGGGAAAACAAAGGGATTTCTTATTATTAATATAGAATTGTCAAAAAATGGAATAAATATCCTGTAAGGTTGTTTTAGAAGTAAAAACAAAATGAAATAAATATCCTAAGGATACGTCGAGCCGGATACGTCTTATTAAGATTTTTACTCTATCTTATCTTTTAAGCAAAGTTTTAGTGACTCATGTCCTCGATCATGTCTCGTGTCATGCAACCACCAAAGTTTAAAATTTTAAATTTTTCGACATGATTCGAGAGAAAATGTAGAATAACTTCAAATTTTCTATCACGCATTCATTTAAAATTTTTCATGAATTAGTGGAAAACGAAAAATTTTGCTTTTTTTTGTTTCCCTCTCTTTGTCATAAAAATCCTATCATAAAAACCCTGTCAGGTGGTACATTTATCGACGCGTCTCAGCGAGGCTGTATTGATAATTGTACTTTTGCTCTCTATCTCCTGTTTTAAACAAAGTTTCTCTCGGAAAAGCGCCCCATCCAAATATTTCCCTAATTTTCCTGGAAAATATGTTTAAGGTATCGGAGAATTTTTGATGCCAAATTGTAAGGAATGTCGAGAAATATACGAAAAAGTTTCCGGAAAATGTGTGTGTTAAAATTTGCAAAACTAAAGGGAGTTTCCCGAAACGGATAAAGCTGTTGCATGTGCAAGCTGTTGAAAAAAATAAGTTGGTCCCGATAGAAAATAGGTGGAAAACCACTTTTTCGAAGGAAAATTTAATATTTTCCGATATGATTCAATAGAGAAAATTTTAATGATTTAGAAGTAGTCAAATTAAATTGATTAGTTCGGACCCTATGGGCCCGAATGTACTTATCAAATTTTGTAACAGACAGACACGTTGCAACCACCAGGTTCTGGTGAATATTCACTTTATCGTAGGAACACCATCCGATAGTGAAATTTTTCATAAATTCCGAAAAAAAGAGAAAATTATCATGGATTTTTTTGATTTCCCCCTTCTACTGTCATAAAAAGCCCACCGTGTAATACATCAATCGACGCGTCTGGTGGAGTCGAATACTTCTTCTTATCCAAGCGAAGTTTTTCCCGGAAATGCGTTCCAATCAAAATTATCCCCAATTTTCCTGGAAATGAGTTTAAGGTGTCGGGAAAATTCTTTTGTCAGATTGTGAGAAAACTGTCGAGTAGTAACACTTAACTGTTTTGCCTTTTTTGGAAAATTTGGCGGAAAAGTCGAAAAATCTGGGAAACAAAAAAACATTATTTTTTCGATTTTTACCAAACGAAAAAAAAGTTAGTCTGGCCGGAAAATTGATGGAAAAACCACTTTGCCGAAAGAAAATATAACATTTTCGTACATTATTTCGGAAATATCGACACTCGAAGGGTTGAGGATTGAATTTCTTAACAGATAGATGGATGGACAACACGTATTTAGGTTTTTCTTATTTATACTCAAAACTACTTATTTAAAAGGTATTCGCTTGTTCGAGTTTTGCGGTTAAAAATATTTTTTATTTTTAGTTAACCTCTAGTTAATTTTTTAATCAGAATTAAATGATATAACACAATTTAGATTTTTTTTCTAGATTTTCAACGATTTTATAATGAATATCAAAGTAGATGGAGTTTTACCTGTTACTTGTTGATTTATTAATCTTTACAGTAAGGAAAGCCAGTATTTTAATAAAAGATGACCATAAAACATTCGGCGAATTAAAAAAAGCAAAAAAATAATAAAGGAAGTTCCTACAACAGTTTTTTTCTATAACTCTCTTTTGCCTGACTTTTCGTATTTTGTTAACAAGGTTTTTAAATCAAATTTTTCGTAGATATAGATTTCTTCTTTAATTAGATCTAATTCTTATTACTTAATAATTAATTTTTCATGGAAGATTCTTTCTTAAAAGAATTTCTTTATTTAATCTATGGAGAAAAATAAATAAAGGCTTATTTAGGCCTTTCTATAGTACATTTCATAAGATATTAAAACTTCCTGATACCGACTAAAATTAAAATTCTCCGTTTTATTTTAAATCAAATTATAAATATAAATTATAATGGATAATAATTTCTCTTTACGATTATATCCCTAAAAAAATATTTTTCTGTTACGCCATTGCAGAGATAGATAAGGCGGACATGTTGTAGTTGCATTTGTGCTCTCTCTTCCTGTATTTCAACTGTTGTATTGGTTGTATAGAAATAATTGCACGTTAGAATCCTGCGTGTATATACAGGGTAATTCATTAGCGCGTGGAAGTCGAATATACGAAGATTGTTCGGTAATTACGTCCTGACACAGAGGTGGCATGAATTTTTTACGTTGATGATGTTGCACTAGCTATAGACAGGACTAAGCCAGCTAAACGCTTCATTGCTTGGACTAAATATGTTAATAAGGAAATTTTTGGAATTAATAATAATTAAGCAATCATAAGTGGTTTAATTCAAATCTATTACTTAGTTTACTTGTAACACATTCTTGAAAGGTCGTTCAGTAAACTAAAAATAATTAATGACTACCTACCTCAGATCGCCAATAGGTCAAACTAGTCTGAGTAACATGGCTTTACTTTCTTTAAAATCGAAAGCCGTTTCTGAAGTGGACAAACCCATATAGCACAAACACATTTCGGAAATATTTCAAAAATGTTACATTGAAACATTTTTAATGTCGTGTAAATATTACGAAACATCCCAGAAATATTTCTGAAATATGGCTGAAACGTAAAAATGTTCTGAAGATGTAATATTTCACAGTAATATTTTTGAAATGAAATGAAATTTGAAATCTTCTAGAAATATTAAATAGTAATATTTCAGAAATGTATTGTGATATTTGTTTATTTTCAAACAACAGTTTATTTATTAATAATTTATTTAAACACTTATTTATTTTAAACAATACTATTTTAATTTATATATACTTCGAATGTCTTTAAACTGATCACTATTTATATTCACCACTGTCTATCTACTAATTACTATTTATCTTCACTGTCCATATATCAACTGATAATGATGGCTCATCCACCATTATTTATATACAAATTTCTAAAATTTGGTGGCGTCGAGAAGCTTCTCCACCAAACCAGAAATATTTCGAACAGTCCAGAAATATTATCTCGTCCTTTCTCGAACATCATCGAAATCACCTCGTCCCATAGGTTTGGTCTTAAGGGGTTTAATTATGTATAATAATCGGACAAGTTGAGCCTTAAAGGCCAAATAAGACAGAGAGGGACTTGTAGGGTTAGAGCATGACTGAATAATGAAATGGCTCACATAACAGTATTCTAATTTTATTTTCTAAAATATTATTAGACACTAATCTGAAACAACTAGGTTTTTTTTTAATACATACCCCCAAGTAAAGAAACATTTACGATTATTATCTAGGGATGAAAAACTTCTACTCACTAGTGTACCTTAGAGTCATTATTTAGTTACACTACCGTTAACGTATAACACTTAAACGCACTATACTCTGCTTTAATGTAACATCACTGAACTAACTCAAAAGGCTTGGTTCTCTTGAGTCCTTCTTATTAGATTAGCATTGTTGAGAAACTGGATAATCTCAAGGTTTCCATGTTGGAGCAGTCG